AACAACCACACAAAAACCTCAGTTCACAACAAGAGAAATAAGCACGAGTTTCTCCAGCAAAAACACTCTCCAACTCCCCGGCTCACCCGAGCCTCAATCATCACAATGCCACCAGCAGACGAGTTCGAAGTCCAACCCCAGGCCTTCGACGCCCGCAAGCTCGAACCAGCCCGCAAGCGCCGTCGCTCAAACTCCCCAAGCCACCGCTCCACGCACAACGGCGGTGCCAGCGCCTCGCCCTCCGCACCTGCCGAATCCTCGGAACCCGTCCGCCGGCAGAAGCGGCCCGGCCAGCGCGCCCGCATAACCGACGCCGAGAGAGAGGCCATCCGCCTCCGGCAGGCGGAGCGCGAGCGCCTCGCCCGCGAGGAAGAGGAGCGCCAGAACAAGCTGCACGGAGGGTCGGGGATCAACGATGTGGTCAGGGCGCACTACAATGCCGTGCCCGAGCGGGGCCGCGACTGGCGGAAGACGGACAGCAAGATCAAGGGGTTGAGGAGTTTCAATAACTGGGTGAAGAGCTGTATCATCCAGAAGTTTGCGCCGGATGAGGACCACACGCCTGGTGCGTTGGAGAGGGGGATACGGTCGAACAACGAGCTGCTCGTGCTGGACATTGGGTGCGGAAAGGGCGGCGATCTGGGCAAGTGGCAGCAGGCGCCGCAGAGGGTGCAGCTCTATGTTGGGCTCGATCCGGCTGAGGTGTCGATTGAGCAGGCTAGGGAGAGGTACCGGCAGATGGCTAGCCGGGGAGGTCGAGGTGGACGCGGCGGTCGGGGAGGATACGACAGGCGTCCGCAGCCGAGAATCTTCGACGCGAGGTTCCACGTCAAGGATTGCTATGCTGAGACTATCGGGGATGTGGACATTGTTCACCAGGTTGGGTTTACGAACTCGAATATTAGCGGTCCGAGGGGCTTTGATGTTGTGAGCATGATGTTCTGCATGCATTACGCTTTCGAGACGGAGGAGAAGGCGAGACAGATGCTGAGGAACGTGGCCGGTGCGCTGAAGAAGGGCGGGCGGTTCATTGGTACAATCCCGAACTCTGATGTCATTGGAAGCAAAGTCGAGGCCTTCAACAAGCGGCTCGCGGAAAAGAAGGCGGAGAGAGAGAAACAGAAGAAGGACAAGGAGGATGGTCCGGCTGAGGAAGGCGAAGTCGAGGAAGGCGAGGCGGAAGAGACGGCAGAATGGGGGAATGATATCTACCATGTTCGGTTTCCTGGAAAGACGCCAGAGGATGGTATCTTTCGGCCGCCGTTCGGCTGGAAGTACAGCTTCTTCCTCCACGAGGCCGTCGAAGAGGTGCCCGAGTATGTTGTGCCGTGGGAGGCGTTTCGAGCTCTGGCAGACGATTACAACCTGGAATTGCAGTACCACAAGACATTTGCGGATGTCTGGGAGACGGAAAAGGACGACCGCGAGTTGGGACCGTTGAGCGAGCGGATGGGTGTTCGAGATCGGCACACCGGTGAGCTGTTGGTCTCTCCTGAGGAGATGGAAGCGGCGAACTTTTATATCGCGTTCTGTTTCTATAAAGTGTAGTTTGGGGACTCATTGGATGCTTGGAGATATTAAAGTCATTCGCGGTGAATTATTGCTCACTCTGCCTCAGTGGCTTGATTCTCTCACACAGTTCCGCATTGCCTTCTATCCCATGCCGTGATGTATTCGGGCAGCCGTATGATGATACATATCTCCTACCTCCTGCTTCACAACCATTGCCTTCCCTTCAAGTATAATACAATATTCTACACATGCTCTATAGTCATATCCTTACGTTCCACCACAGCTTGCGCAGGATCTTTCCTAACGGCAAAGAAGTAGTTTCCAATCTTTTCACTCCCCGCGACTTCCTTCCAGCCCAGCCCAGGCACATACACAACGCCCAGGACCCGCGGACTGCTCCACCCTGCCTTCTTTGCGAAGTGCGACCTCATCTCGTCCTCGTTGATATACTTGCTCCAGTCATGCGTGCCCTTGGGCACCATACCGAGTATATCCTCCGCCACCAGATTGGTCGTGAACCAGCTCGTCCAGGTTCTCGCTATCGTGCTGAGCACCAACCACCCGCCAGGCTTGACGAAGCGTCCGCAGCATTCCAGGAAAGACGCCGGATCGTCCACATGCTCGATGACCTCGAATAGCGTGACGATATCGTAGCTCTCCTCCTCCTCCTTCTCCGGTAGGCTCTCAATCGTAGCATTGAGGTACTCCAACTTCCCCCGCAAAGCCGGATCTCGCGCCGCATGTCGCCGTGCTACTGTCAAGATCTCTGTGGAGGGATCGATGGCCGTCACGGACTCAGTGTTCGCTAAGCGAGCGGCGCTCTCGGCAAATATGCCACCGCCGCAGCCGACGTCGAGGTATCGTAGATTGTGGTTTGGAGGAGGATCGCGCTGCGATGAGAGACAGCTGCGGATGAACGTGTGTCGGTGCGGGTTCATCAGATGGAGGACCCGCGAGGAGCCGTGTGGATCCCACCATGTTGAGGCTAGGGCATTAAAGTGTGATATTTCGGAGGCGTTGACTGAGGGTGATTCGGAGTGGTGTGGAGGTGGTGTTGAGGAGGCCGTATGGGTAGTGGTCGTGCTCTGGTATCGGCAGACGAGGGACGGAGTGGTGACGGATGACGGGTGCATGCTACGCCGTAAGTGGCGCGCAGCGGCCGTCGTGCTGCGTGGTATTAACGCTTTCATCGGTGTCACCAATATGGCAGCTGTGTCTCTTGTCGGTGATGATGGCTGTCGAAGGAGCTAACAATATGCAGTCCGTTCAATTCAAGCTCCAGGCCCGGCCGAGCATGTTTCTGTGCACGGCCCGGGATAAGTGGGGCTTTCCGCTCTCAAGCTACCACCTTTAGTCGTGTGCCAGTTAGCATTTCCGACTGGTGAACCTTGAAGGTATGGCAGGCACTTTCCTTCATCTTCCATCAAGCACCTTATACATTTACAATACGCCGTTGTAGGAAATAGGTAGCGAAATACACGTATATCCAGTCTTGAAAATCTCCTTGGCCTAGCTCCTCGTGACAGGGCTGAAGAAAAAGCGACAGACCCTTCTGTCATTCAACATGTTCTCGGAATCGTATTAGCGTTGGATACTCTTTTGCACATGCTTGTGTAATAATGTCGTGAGCATGTTCCGGCACTCGGCTGAAGGGTCCGAGATCAAGTCACGAACCCACGTGAACCCCAGCGCCGATACTTATGCGGGGACTCCGACCCCGCCATCGTGCCGTGGTCTCGTACACTGGAAAGGTCATCGAAAATTCGCAGAAGAGGTTTGTCAGCGCCTGTCATCCACCGGATGGTCGGACTCTCGACATACTCGGTTGTACCAGCAGCGTGCATACCGAAAGCGGGCGTTGATTCCGAAGAACTTTCACATTGCGAATTTCAGGGAAGGAATTGTATACTTATAGACACCACAATTAAGAGAGTCTGCCCGAGTGCAATCGAGTACATAATAAGACACCTTAGGTTGATTGGGTCCAGTAAAATCAAAACCCAAGCCGCGGTTCCCTCTCAGCTAATCGGCTCCGCTTTGCGCCGGCGCATTCTCCTCGTCCGGTCGAGTGCCGTGGATACCAACTACTCGGTGACTCCTTCAACAATCCGTGCCTCTTGACTTGAAGACACCACGAACTCCAGAGCTACCACATGCACATACAGCCCAATTTGTTTTCGAGATACCCGACAACTTACCAACGTTCATCCGGACTGTTCTTGAACCGCATCTGCCCGGCATCTACCGCATGACGCAGTCTTGAACCTGGAAATTCGAACCAGCCGTAACCGCACACGTCGACCGTCGACTCATTGCGACAACCTACCTCGCACAAGAGCCGAAGTTTCAGGACTCTCCGACACATAAACATGCCGTCCTCAACAATTGACCAGTCGAAATTCGACTCAATCCCAGACACCGTCCAGGCATTCCGTAAGTCCCACCTTTTTCCATAACCCCTCCATCACCATATACACCGTCACACAGTCACGCTAACTCCAACCCTGCCAACAGGCGATGGCCAGTTCGTCGTCGTGCTCGACGACCCGGGCCGTGAAAACGAGGCCGACCTGATCATAGCCGCCGAGTCCGTAACCACCGAGCAAATGGCCTTCATGATCCGGCACAGCAGCGGCTACATCTGCGCCCCCATCCTGCCCGACCGCACAGAGGCCCTCGACCTCCCGCAGATGGTGCCGAACAACGAGGACCCGCGCGTGACCGCCTACACCGTGACCGTCGACGCCGCCCACCCGGCCCTGACGACGGGCATCAGCGCCCACGACCGCGCGCTCACCTGCCGCACCCTGGCGGACGACAACGCCACCGCGGACTCGTTCCGGAGACCGGGCCACGTCCTCCCCCTCCGCTCGAGGCAGGGAGGGGTCAGGGAGCGGAGGGGCCATACCGAGGCCGCGATCGACCTGTGCCGCATGGCGGGCAAGAGGCCCGCTGCGGCGATATGCGAGCTGGTCGAGGACGGCACCGAGGTGTCGGGCCAGGCCGTCCTGCTAGAGCCCGGCATGATGAGGGGCGAGGCCTGCATTGAGTTTGCGCGGAGGTGGGGGCTGAAGGTCTGCACGATCGCGGATATGGTCGATTATCTAGAAAAGACGGAGGGGAAGCTCGCTGTCAATGGAGAGTCGTAGGGTAGGGGTTCCCTGGGATGAGTGTTGTGGACTTGTAGACAAAAATTCGGCATGTGTGTATTATATATCCCGACATTCTACGGCGTTCGGTATGCAATCTGGCATGCTTCTGTTGTCTTCACAGGCGAAGAAGAGGAAGGCTCTCACAACAACCTCGGCGGTCACTTTGGTTATTGTCTGTATTGTATGTGCTTCTCCCCATACCACTCTGTGTTCGGCACATGCCTTCATGAAGGAAGCCTCTCCTCTCCGGAGTAAAATGAGAATAGTCTGCTCTTTGGAACAGCAGACTGGCTAGCAATTACCAGACACGTCAAAAAGTTGTATCAACATGGCGGACTCTCCCGCCGGGAATTGAACCCGGGTCCCGAGCGATGTCGAGGGTATGAACCCAGATGACAAGCTCATATACTAACCACTATACTACGGAAGACTAGTGGGTGTTGAATCACCCACCGCAGATGTGGAGTCGAGTTGTTGATGGGGCAGGTGGACGGAAAGTATTCCCATAAAGCTCATCCCTCGGAAGCTCCACATGAGTAGTAGACCATGCAACTTGATGTGTTGTTGGTCAGGACGGCGAGTAGGAATGACCAACGGTACTGTGTGTATAAAAACAGCTCTGTTCAAGCCTCCCGTCGTGTCTCCTCCTTCAAGGTAAGCCAACTAACTGTGAAGCGTGAGGATGCCACACATCCCAGTCAAGGTAGCAACTGAAGACGAACGGACCACTCAGCCTCATCGAAATAGGAAGTATACATGTAGTATTCACCTATCCCTAATGTTGGAACAACTCTGAACCACGAATGACGAAATTTAGGACAAGGATGTTCAGCTGGGTCCGTCATGATATCCTCATGACTGGGAGGGCCAACTATCCCGGCATGGGAGACAAGCTCCTGGTCTTTGCGTCTAATATGGCCCCAGCTGGGCACACTCAACCCTTATAGGATATTGTGCTGTTCGGTGAAGTTGATTGTTTGCTCTGCGCACCGAGCCCCTAGGGTATTAGCACATACCTGCGTATTATAGGCGTTCGCAAGTGACATGGGGTGTGTGTTTGTTATCGAGTAACATAGGGAAATGTATGAAGACAGCATATAACATCTGTCCAGACATGATCGACACAACATCTCCCCGTAGCCTTGTGGTCCTTGGCTTCGCGAAGCCGTGCACCTGCATGTTTCTCGACAATATTCCGCGGCCCGCAACACTTGGCTGGTCGACCAGGCCCTCGTATAGTAAAGGAACGATGCCGGCTTGACGTCCAGTGCGGCCTAACGAACCTCACTATGGGTGTTTGTACAGCCACGCTAGATCGGACATGAAGTTATAGGATCGAGTCACCTTATGCCATCTAAGGCGGCGCACAGGCGGACCTTCCTTGATGACGCGCAACTGCGTCAAGAGTTTTCCTCTCAAACACAAGCACAAGCATCCGGAAGTTTGCACCAGGTCACAGCAAGGATAAGTGAGCCGCATGATGGAAATTGGGGACGTTGGTGTTTCGGGACGCTGGATGGGGGTAGGTGGTCGATATCCACCTGCACGTCATCACAGGACGCCATGAGATTGGGTAATTCCAGCCATAGTTACCGTGTCGATGTCGAGCCTTCCAAAAGTGGAAGACTGTAGCAAAGCCTCTTAGTTTCAGCGACCCCAAACAACAGTCCTCAATCACAAACTTTTCTTCCGTACAGGAATTCAGATACGATGGCATCGCCTGACCTGTCAATCTCTACTCCCCCTACTTCGCTGGTTTCGGATAAGGAGCCGCCGCCGCCGACTGTCCAATTCACAAATTTTACAAAGCTCTACCAGGTAACTAGACAGGTTTCTGGGGATTTTCTAGTCGTCCAAAGTAAGTATTTGTTATTTAGTTATATCTCTAGGGTATTTTATACTAATTATTAGATGTTTCTCCTGCCGACTTTGAGAAGCTATGTCTCCAAGAGAAACGCCCTTTTCGCATCCGCCGGTACGATAATAGTACAGGTATTCTGGTTATTACGATACCTACCGGCCTACACGAAGTACTCCATCTCGAACTCTACCAGAAATATTTCATTCGACTTGTTAGAAATAATCAAGAAGATGGTTGGAAAACAATTGGTAGTACTACCTTCCGACCACGAGGTCACCCTGGCGGCGATGGTGGAGAGGGCGATTCAAGTGGTGGCCCAAGGCCAGTACGTGATCCAAAGGGTTCTTGGCCAACGCTGGTTATTGAGTCTGGAGTCTCTGAGTCTCTGTCTGCCCTCCAAGATGATATGAGGTGGTGGTTCTCGGCGTCAGACCACGAAGTCAAGATTGTACTTCTCGCCAAGTTCGATTACCGGAACCAAAGGATCATGATCGAGAAATGGGAGGAAGCAATTCAGACTCGCCTTGGCGCCATTCAGCCTGTATTACGACAGGATATCACTATTATACGGGATCTAGCTACCGATTCATACCATGTTACTAGCGGTGCACTGGTACTTTCGTTTCGGCTTCTTTTTCTACGAGCTCCTGGTCCACAAGAGGGCGATTACATTATTAGCATTGCAGAGTTGCAGGATTATGGGCGTCGTGTTTGGAGCAATGTTTGAGACTCCAAACAACATCGACACGGAAATTTCAGCAATCAAGCCCACGATGCCGGTTTGCGGGTGGCGCGTCGCCACATGAGCACCAACCCAGGCTGCTAAACTCCTTGAGGCTCACCCAACCGATGATGGACAGCAAGCGTTAAGCGGTGTGGAAAGTTTACCACAGTAGAGGATGGCCGACGACCGACGACCCAAAAAGAGCCACTGACTTGAGGCGATGATGGAGACCCACCTCTCTCGGGTGTGCCGAAATGACGACGAGATTGCGATGGTCGTGCTATTGGAGACTAGATGGATGCCAGCATTTTAACAACTTGTTTGCGCTTGGCTACATGAAGCGCCATGTTACGAGGCACATGATGTGCGTAACTCTGTTAAGTGACCATAGCGCCTGAACTCGAGGAAATTGGGTCTACACTTAACTTCTGTGTGCCATCGAAATGGCAGAAGTGGAGTTGCAGCTGAGAGGAGCCATCTTCGTGCCTGAGCTCTGGGCCTCTTGATTTGTTGCCGTTCGAATAGGACTTGATAATGCCATGTACATCTTAGCCAAAGGCACAGCTCCTGCCTCTGGTAAAGACCTGAGTGAAAGTGCTGTGGCGCCTGGCTGCACGCGACGTGACCTCCGCAGCGTAACATTAGCCAGTTTGGTGAAGGAAGCCTTGCAAAGGGGGCACGCACGTTCGGTGAGCTGTGCGCTCCCGTCATATCGAGATGATCGTCATATCGAACGCTCGAGTGGTCGCTTGCCAGGGTTGACCCCAGTCATTGTGAAGGGTATGATCTCCACCTGAAACCCCTAGCTCCAAGGGGCAGCTGCAGAGAAGGCTTCTCGAAGGACGCTCAGGCCAGGCAGAGACATCCTCGGTCAGCAAAACCAACGTCAAGGTGGTAAAGCAAGCCCCTCGGGTCGTGCTTATTACCCACTTCTGGTGCATACCTTACCACGCTACTGCGTTACTTGTTTGGCAGTTGTTACCACAGTATGCAGGTCCGCTCTCTCTCTCTACGCTTCGGTAAGATAGGCAACTGGGAGTAAATATCGCAGCCGTGGATGCCGACATGACGAATTGTGGAACTACTGTAGAGTCCAGAGAACGAGAGAGGTATATTCTGACGGATGGCTGCAGGCAGCTGGACAGTCAAGATCGCAACTCGAAAGTCGTGCGACACGGACGACTACGCAGTTTTGCGCGCTATCTTGGTCATCCTTGGCGCAGTCTCACACTTTCAAGTTGGGCTTTCCGGCCAGTGTCAAGCAAGGGCTGGCGAATGCATGCATTGATGTCCTGCACATCCTGGCTTGAAGCTCGGCTTGCATTAGCTCGGCACCGGGGCTGGCGCAGAGGACGACACGAAAGTTTCGAGAAAAGCCGTTATTGGTGATTGGGGTCAATGGGGGCGCAGGTTCACGGCTGGGCGTTCCAGGAGGCTTCCGTGCGCCTTTAACAGCTTGTCGAAGGTATGTCCCCTTCTAGAAACCTTCCTGATGTGGATAGCGCAATCTCAGCTGGCGCCCTGTTTACAAGGGCAAGCAAGCATGCTGTTCATGCACTGGCCGTCACGGTCACTCCATGTCCACAGCGACCAACCAGGGTCCATGATGCTGAAGCCACACCAGCTCCGAGACCACGCTGTTCGGTGGACGCTACACCTAGTCACTGATAAACTACACTATGGCCCCTATTCTGCCACAGGACTTCTGCCGTTGCCGTTGGTCGTGGTCATATCATGGTAAGGTAATTTCGATCGCATGTCAAGGCTGTCCGGGTGGTCTGGGAGTCGCGATAAGTGTTTTCTCAAGCAACGTATGTTTGGCGTCGAGTACGTAATTACCATTTTGGCAGGCCTGCAGCATGGTTTGTTGATAAGATATATATGTACGGTACTGCTAGCACGCAAGCAGCAGGTTGGGGTGTGATGGGCATGTCTAATGTACATGTGTATCAAGGCTCGTCGCCGCGTAGGTACACGTAAATCAGACCTCCACACCCTGATGGCAAGCAAAGTGGCACATGTGCGTCATTGAGGACGGGCGGCCATGGAAGACGTGGAAGAATGGAAGCTTTTCAGGACGGTGCGCATCGCGGTCTGAGTGCCCGGTACTCTGGGGCCCCTTTCTCCCTGATGGATAAAACGCCCGAGGAAAGACGGGCTTTAAGGCTGAGCCAGGTGGATACGCACCGAGTTTGGGGCCGAGGAACCTGGAAGCCCCCTGGTTTCAATCCTTGCGCCGTTTCCATTTTACATCATCAGCTTCTGGGCGTAAAAGCTTCTGTGACTTCAGGGACAGAGAGACAGGAGATAGCAACGACGAACGTACTACTAGAGCGGTTTTCTCGTAAACAGAAGCGCCACATTGGGGGATTGGAGGAAACTAGTGCAGCGCGTACCCACGATGTAGCAGTACTATATGCACCCAACAGAAGAGAGAGAGACGAGAGGGGGTTTGTCATTTCCTACAGTTAGCTGCCTGTTTGCACACGCCTGTCCCGGTCCAGTCAGGAATACCTGGCGACCTTGGTACTGGCTATATCTTTTGACTGTCCTGTGTGTTGGGTACGGGGACATGATTCCGAGGCAAATTTAGCCATAAAGGTCAAGAAGGCCACGACTCGCGATGTCATCTACCTGCAGCCTCAGACAGGAAAGGTTCGAAAGACTGACACGGCGGAAAGGAGAACTTTGGCTAAGCAATGGAAAACGATCCTAATGCTACCGCACCGTAAAAGAGCCACTCTGCTGACAGGATATGACCTTGAATGTAAGCTTCACTTCAGAAGGAATGGGCATCTTACATGCTCGTTTTCTTCCTCTGGGGGCCAGGGGAGAGAACCATTTC